CAACAGGTTTTCTTCTTTTTATGGTATGCTCATGAATATTTAGATAAACTGTGCAATGATTGGTTGGTTTACAACAAGCAAAGCTGCTAAGCAAAGACACATCATAGCAACAAGCACTCACTCTCTGAAACATCAAATTGTCGATATGGTAGGGTGATGATGTCATCTTTTTCCCGGCTATATCCTTCTTTTCATACCTAAAAAAATGTCCGTGGGGAATTTCAAAATCGTCCGGGATTTTGGTAGACTACACGCAGTCGAAACACTCCGGCCATTCGAACAACCCATCAGCTCTGGGGCTGGTCCGGGAACCCTGGTGGACGTAGTGACTAAACTGTTGACAGTAGCCTGGACACAGGCGGCCCTGTGCTTCCCCCCGCCTGCCTTACCGGTCCTCAGCACAGTCAGCGGCCCGGCAGTCGACACTCGCGCACCCCCGCTGCTTTAGGGGTGAATATAGCATAACAGTGGCTAGCTTTCAGCCATGGCGTCCTGCAAGAGCATTGGGTGGTCAATTCGTTCATGGGTTAGGGTACACACACGGGGGAAGGGACAAGCAGATGAGCATGATTGACATGTCAGGAGCCAATCACTTACAACGGACCGTCTTTTGTGTTTGGTTGGAGTTTTTCATTGATTTCTCACTATAGCAGGGACCATTAATTGTACTTTCACTTCCAGACCTTCTATTTCACTGCTTGCTAAGCAGCTGTGGGAAGATCTTTAAGCCACATGGTAAAAAAGGAGTCAGAAAAGATCTCCTACTACATCTTTCATTAAACTGCCTTAGTTTTGCGGAATTTATAAAAATTATGCTCTAATTTTTAGTAACTGTTTGGTGCGATTGCAGGTAGTGGGCCCACTGGCGGATGGTGTGGCATCGCACCTCCGGGCTGTGCCATGCTGGGTCTTATAAGGAAGACCTCCAGGGTGGGGTCCCAGCTCCACTGTATCGGGCAACATCATTTGCCTTGATTTCATAGTCTTCATAAGAGCTTTTGAAACTGCTCTGTGTCTAACCCGTCACCCAGAGCCTCTTTGCCTTGGGAGACCCTACCAGTCAGTCTATTTTTGTCAGATCCTACATACCTTTAAAGCTCCTGACAACATAGCCTCTGGGAACATTCAGGCACTGAAACCCCTCCACCACGCTAAGGTGGAGGTTGAAGGAGGGGAGGCAGCTTCAATGCACTAATTCCTTCCTTTTTTCTTATTTAATTATTGCATCATAAAGGAAGCAGATTTTTTTCTGATGGTTCCCTCTAACCAAGACCTAAATCATGCACTAGGAGAGGGTTCTCCAAGTCCAAGGCCACAGTTCAAATGGAGATGGCCCTTCCCAGTTTGAGGAAGAAGTTCCTGCCTCAATTAGAGGAGGTCAAGTATGTTTGGATCTTGCCCTTAAGAGAGAAAAGAATGCAGTCAACTAGGCAGACCTGTGAAGACGCCATTGCAGTAATCAATTCATATTACAAGTATTTTCCCATCAAAGGTTAAATTTTTTTTATTTGAAGTTTCTTTAGTCAATTTGAAAGGAGCATTGTCCTCTTTTTTTTTGACTACTGATGTTACCTCAGTGAAATAATCAGTCATGTATCAGATTGAAATAATTGTACGGAGAAGTTATAAAACAAATTGTTTTTTTTATTTAGAGTGAGAGTGAGAGTGGACAGACCAACAGACTATCATTCTAATCACAACTTTAAATATAGGGGTGCCTGATTCTTCCTTTCCTTATGTTGATCAACCAACGGAATCTCTGTGACTGTTTTTATAATATCTTCTTATTTATTAGTGACCAATAAGTGCTGTCATGTTAAACACTAAACAAAGTCTATTCTTAACTATATAATAAGAATTTTTGTCTTAAATTTTAATTTTCCAATTTTTAGATAACTGGGGGAGGTTTATCTTAGTTTGTATTTTACTTATTATTGTATAGTTTACTCTACCTGTGCTCAGTATTCCCCTCTTTAGTAAAGATGGTTTCTATTATTTCACACTAGTTGGCATTTTGACTTTGAAAATGGAGGTACAGTAAGTAATATGAATAGAAAAATTAAAAGTATATTTTTGATCATTGTCATAAAAGCTTTTTATTATCTTAAACCTGCAGTTAACTGAATTGATGATACTCTGTTTTATCAAAAATCTGCTGAATGCTTTAGATCTACTTAACCAATTTCCATTATTTGAATTTCACTTGGAGACAGTTTACCAATGCCTAATGTTGTATATGCTTGTTTTGTTTGGCAAAATTCTAAACTTGGATCTCCATCATATATTTTTATAATATACCTAATAACTGCTTCTACATCAGAGGAGCAATTGGTTTTACCAAGAGCATGTTCTGATAAGAAGATAGATGTAAGATTAACTTCAAACATAGCAACAACTATGAGGAGAGAAGTAGACAGAAAATAAAATTACATCACATATCCTTCGCCTTTATCTAATAGATCAGATCTGCTGTCACTGAAGGCTGTAGCCTTTGCAGTCTGATTGGAAAGTACCGGGAAGGTGGTTTGAGGTAATCTCCAGTCAAGTTCAAAGCAAGTTTTGGCAAAGATCCTGCAGCTCTACCCAATGTGGTCAATAAAAACAGAACATTTAAGGGAAACCCTGGTTTTCTCTGAAAAGATAACACTAATTTATTTTTAACTTATTAAGGTGCTCGCGTTCTGTGTCAACTTTAAAGAAGTTGAAATGTAATTAACTGAATTGTGACAAACGTCCGAAAACAGAAGAAATCTGAAGGTTGACAAATATTTTCAAAAGCACAGATGAAAAGATGTGCCAACAGGTAAAGCAGATGCTGAACAGCTGCTTTTTACACACTACTTTTAAATCTAAGACCTTTCAGCCAGCTTGTGTGCTTTACTATCTTGGGGCTTTGGACCCTCTTAAAACCAAAGTTGCTTATATTTTACGCTTATCACAGAATACTTTTAGAGATGTTTTTACGGGACGAATGTTTTAACGGGACAAATTTAATCAGTGAAGTTGTTTCATTATGAAATATCTGACTTTGAAAATCTTTGTTGAACTGATAGAGCCCCAGGTTTGATCTCCGGCTAATCACAGCTGTAATATTGGTCAGTGTGTTGTACAGTAATGTCAGTCATTAACATTTAATTATTTCAACAAAAAACATTCCAGAGGTTGTTTTTCAGCAAGGACGTACAACTCAAAACTTTTATCTGTGTAGTCAGTTTGTCAAAAAGTAGCCTACTTTTAAATCTGTGTCAAAGCTGTTAGAGAACAGGCCTCAGGCTTCTGTGGGCTGCCTTCTGAGGCGGAATGTACTGTGAAGTGTGATCTCCAGCTACCCACAGCCCTAACGTTGGCCAATCACTCTGTCATTACTTATTAATTAAAAAGTGATTTATAAATGTTTTTCACCAGGAAAAGTACACCTGAAACCTCATCTGTGTATTCAGTTGATCAAGATTATGAATGTACTTTTAAATGCACTCTAATCAGAGGAGAAAGGTCAGACTGTTTTGAGCTGATAGAAAGATAGCACTTCCTACTACAGCAGCAGTTTGGGCTACAGCAACAAAAGATCTGCTACTCCTATCAGCTACGAATAGAAACCTAAGGCCTCAATTTCGACAGACTCACCAAAATTGGTGGCAATTGTTGCATCTACTGCAACCAGGCAAAATGTTGCCTGGTTGCAGTAGATGAGTCTCCATTTCTCTTGCAACATTCGGATTGAACATTCAGTCAGAATTCTGAACATTTCAGCACCATAAAAGCATGGATCCATCCATACCTTGTTTCAACAATTTAGGCTGGTGGTGGTGGAGTAATGGTGTGGGGAATATATTCTTGGCACACGTTGGGACCCTTAGTATCACTTGAGCATAAGGTCACAACCTACCTGGGTATTGTTGCTGACAATGTCCATCCCTTTGTAGCCACAGTGTACCCAACTACTGTTGCTGCTTGAGATGATCGCGCTACGTGTCATAAAGCATGAATCATCCCAGCCTGGTTTCTTTAACATAACAATGAGTTCCCTTGTACTGAAAAAGCCTCCACAATCACCAAATCTTAAACCAATAGAGGACCTTAGGCATATTTATAATCACATCATGGATGTGCAGCCAACAAATCGACAGCATGTGTGATGTAGTAATGTCAATATAGACTAAATTATCTGAGAAATGTTTCTAGCACCTTGTTGAATCTATGCTATGAAGTATTAAGGCAGTTCTGAAGGGAAAAAGGTGGTTCTACTAAGGTGTACTAAGTGAAATGGCTGGTGAGTGTATCTTTTTAGAGTGGCAGAGTATCTCTAATCTGACTCACAGGCTAGCCAGGGGGGGTAGTTGCAGAAAAAACCTAAACAGAGTGTCATCAAACCCCTCCAGGGGCTAGGGGTGTTTCCTGCCTGTATTCATCTTTAGTAACTCAAGTTGTTCCCTCGTTTAGGGTTTGATTCGGCCCAAATTAGGGCAGAGAAACCTCCCTGTTTCTATTTTAGGACTGGTTGCATGGTTACATGCACAAAATCAACCAACTGACTGTTTTTTGACTTTTTCTTGTTTTAATCGATGAGTGGTATTATAAACAGCTGACCGCTTCTTTGCTTAAAATCATCAAAAGCAGCAACTGTGTATTCAGTTTTCTCTTCACTAAAATAAGAGTAACAGAAACCCATTCAAATGACTGAATGAGATTCCTTATGTAAGTTTTTTTTTTTTGGTGACACCTGCAGGAAATCACTGTTTTCAGCAATACTTACATCACCAGGGTGTGTTTGTTTTTCAGTGTGCTTGCTTCAACAAAAATACTCTATAGTAAAACTCAAAATATACAAAATAATGTTCTCATTTATCAACTTTGCTTTACTGCACTACAGCACCAGATATGTCTGCCTGGTAGGTTGATTTCATGTAAACTCTGCTCACTGAAATTTGTAAGAAGAAACTGAAAGTAAAATAAAAATATTTGCTCAGTGGCGTAGCAGTCTGCAGCCTCTGAGAATACGCGCTGGTAGCAGGCAGAAATCCATTCTTTATAAAAGACAAACTAGAAGATTTAGTGGCTCTAAAATGAGCAGCCCAGCTGAGGACGACAAAAGATATGACCCCAGGGATACAACGTTCAGTTTTGTCGACAGACCTGATGACCTGGATCCTCTGTGTAAGGACTATAAACTGCTACTGCTGTTTGTATCATATCAGTTGTCATTTACTTTAGCTTTAACACCTTGTGTAAACCTTTAGATTTTAATTGGTTTAGACTGTCACATGAATTAGAGAGAATTCACATTTTATTTTTTTATGTTAAACAATATCTGTTACTGAATATTTCCTAAAAGGGCAGTTCGGGTTTATTTGTACTCTTCCTCTGTAATTTTCCTGGTAACAGTGTCTGGTTTACTGTCTGTTCTCTGCTCCTAAGTCGATGAAGATGAAGATCAGGGTCTCCGAGCTGAGATGTCCTGCGGTCATGCCGTCACCCCACAATCTCTGACTGGGTGGTGTCGCAGTCTGCTGGATCAGGTACTTAATGACAATACTCCACCCTTGAAAAACACCATTTCCTTTTTTAATGATTCATTTACTGTTGTACTGTTCATTGTGGGTTTTTTTTTCTAAATATAAGTACAGCGGACCAATGTCAGCTGTACTTCCTAAGGTTGAAAATAATTGAACTAGCTCAGGTAGAAAGAAATCATTGTCAAACTTCATATACCGGTAGCTGTTTTTAGTTTCATTTTTTTAATGTTGCTATCTTTCCATCAGTCCTTTGAAAACAACGATATATAGGACATTTAAGCTCAATATGGCAAACTACACATTTTACCAACAAGTTTCCCTAATTTAACCTTCTTGAATTTAATTTATTGTAATAAACCAAATTTGCTTGGTTCAGTCCCATTGGCCACTCTCAGGCATTATTACTTGTGGTTATTTACTATCAACAAATCCATTCCAGGTCTCCCTTGCAAAAGAGATTTTTATTCTCAATGGGTATTACCTGGTTAAATAAAGGATAAATGAAAAAAAAAAAAGAATTGTATTGTATTTGTAACACATTAATGTAAAGGAAAATGTTCACGTGCTGCCTAAAATACTGTATCTGCACCAATTATTGGTGCCTTTGAGCTATAGCTTATTGCATTTTTATTTACTTGTTCTAATCTTTTGTATAAAAAAGCAGGGGTGAAGCATGTTTTAAAGGTTAAACAAAACATCAAAATCCTCAGAATGTTGTCATGTTGCTTTTCTATTGTATATTTTCTCAATATACAATAAAAATATAACATTATCCTCATGGTTTGTTTTTAAATGGTTCCACTCAATATTAGTTTATTGTGACAAGATATGTATGTTATGACTTCCAGGGCCAGTACAAGTTTAGGTGTCCGGCTATAGATGAGGAAACACAGGAGAAATGTGGTGCTCAGTGGTCTTACCGAGAGGTGCGACGTCTGGCAGACCTGAGTGTGGAAGAAATGAACTACTTTGAAGAGAACATTGCTCGCCTGGCTGCTGCAGAGTATCAGGAATTTAGAGCAGTAAGTTTCTCTAAACTCAGATCAATCATGACTTTAGGAGTTATGCTTGATCTATTATGTCTTTTTCTCACAGTGTCCTGGGTGTAAGACGTATATTGAAAGAAAGAACCTGACTAACCTCTGCGTGCAGTGCTTAGTGTGTGCTGCAGACAAGAAGAAAGTGTTCCAGTTCTGCTGGCAGTGCTCAAAGCCTTGGAAAGGCCCAGCTCCTCGCTCTGATCGCTGTGGCAATGATGGCTGCATCAACCGTGACCTGGAACTACTCAGGACCTGCAAGACCACCACCCTGCTTGAGGTTCAGGGGGTCGATGCCTGTCCCTCCATCCGGGCCTGTCCCACCTGTGGAAATAGGGTGGAGCATGACAACACAGGCTGCAAGAACATCATCTGTCCTCGCTGCCAGGTGGAGTTTTGCTTTGTGTGTCTGAAGCTCACTCCTGAGTGTCTGGAGACCAGTACCCACTTCATGCCCTGTAGTGATGGTGTGGCTCCCAGACAGACATCCATACCTGTGTGGCGCAGGAAGTAAAACTGCTGCCAGTTTACCTCTCCGAATAGGAACTTGGTGGTTATTGTAAATTAAGCATGTTATTCTTACCTTTGTTCATGTTCAATAACTGTAAAACTCAATATTTAGCATTATATATTTGAACAATTATTACTCGTGTGTAGTATTTGCTTCTGCTATATGTTGAAACATATTGTTCTTTTGCCTATCTAAAAATGTTTTTAAATAAATTATTTTACATCTGACTGCAGCGCCACTATCACAGATTTTTGTTTCCACTCGCCAGGACCATTCCACAAAGAAATGAGATTGAAGATTTTCTAAAGAAATAGCTTGAGGGGTTGGGTGGGTTGGGTACGAGGACTTGGAAGACTTGCTGATGAAGGCCTTGGGAGGAGACTCAGCAGAGGGTGCAGTCATTAGAAAATAGCTTTACCCAAACCCACTTAGAACCAGCCCAATGCAACTTGAAAGAAAGAGGAGAGGAGGCAGATGACAAATAAAGGAATAGTGTCACAGACTAGAAAATGGATGGACTAGGAAGTAGACTGCTGGCTCATAGCAGGTATAGCTGAGGTGTAGGCTCAGCTCCTAGGCTTGAATTAACATGTCCATTTAATTGTGTATTTAACATCCCTTGTCTTGTTTCAGTAGTAAGTTGTGAATTAAATTAACAATATAACCAAATATATTTGATTAAAGGCTGATTTATACTCAGAAATCAGGTCGTCTGCGTTTGTGTCGCAGTGAATGCAAATGTTCCCCCGTCCCCTCTGCAGACACTCTGGTGCACCTCTGATAAGTCAAATCCACATCCACTCTACACTATCCCTATATCCTGTTTGGTACCTCATTGGCTTTTTTTTTTTTTTTTGTATGACCGCAATTTTGGGAAACGACTCGTGAAGTTGGACCAGCTAGAAGAGTAAGGTTTGGCAAGAAGGCTGGGACCCTTTTTCCACCTGGATCTCCGCTCTTTTCGCCTTCATGTCCCTCCGTCATCACACAAACTTCCCCCACTTCCTCACCGCCTTGGCTATATCTAGACCCACAGATAGTTTATGATTGACCCTCTTGCGTTGTGGTGGGGGAATAACAGCTCAGACCACACTTCAATATTGGGCATAAATCAAAAATATCTGCGACAAGCTCACTGCGACACACTGCTGCGGGAGTATAACCAGCCCTTTAGTCTTACAATGTTTTACATTAATTATTAATTAAGTGGTAGTAAATAATTTTTAAACACTAAGTTTTTTCATCAGACCTCAATAATGTCTTCATGTCTAAATGTCTAAATGTCTA